CAATGGTACAGCACTCGCCTGGTTTACCTCTTATCTCTCTGGCTGCTCACAGTTTGTTCAGTTACTCCCTCACAGATCAGCATCTACTCCAGTTAATTCTGGTGAACCCCAAGGCTCTGTCCTGGGTCCTTTACTTTTTATCATCTATCTCCTACCCCTAGATAATATTTTTAGGAAGCATAACATCCAGTTTCACTGCTACGCAGATGACACCCAGCTCTACTCTTCGTCCCTCACTCACACCACACAGTACCGCCATACTTGTCAATGCTCTCGTCACATCTCATCTGGATTGCTGTAATTCTCTTCTCTATGGTTTACCTCATAAATCATCCATAAACTGCAGTTGGTTCAAAATACAGCTGCTCGTATTATTTCCAGAACTAGATCCACTGAACATATAACACCAGTTCTTAAACAGCTCCATTGGCTCCCAGTTCACCTCCGTGTCAAGATCCTGCTTCTCACTTTCAAAGCGCTTCATAACCTCGCTCCTCCATATCTATCCGATCTTCTCCACACATCCTCGCCCCTTCGTACACTCCGCTCTTCCTCAGCTTCCCTTCTGTCAGTTCCACCTGCTCGCCTGACTACCATGGGACTCAGAGCCTTTAGTTGTTCTGCCCCGAGACTTTGGATGCACTCCCACTTGCTCTCCGGACCACACACTGTCTCACCACTTTTAAATCACTACTCAAAACCCATCTGTTTAGAACTGCATACACCTGATCTGTCTTAGGCCATTTTTACCTGCTCAGTTTTTATATTTGCTTTTATACTTTTATGACTGTTTATGTCTAAATTTTATCTGCCATGTTTGCTATATATACATTTTTCTTATGTTTTTTATGGTATTGTTTACGTGCTACTGTGAGGTGACCTTGGGGGTCTGAAAGGCGCCTATAAATAAAATCTATTATTATTTATTGTTATCCGGTTGTTCAGTCTGACGTCACTAGCCGTGTCTGGGCCTAAACTCCGCTGCAGGTCCATATATCAAACATCACTGTGGCATTACTGAGAGTTGAAAAACTGTCTAAAGTCTTTCATATTTAATAAAATGATCAGCGTTCTGCTCTACCAGGTGTAACAATTGAGTTTAACATCCAGGCATCCATGAAAACGGAATTTATGACATTTAACGGAGTTAGAAGTTAGCAGGAAGTTAGCTCGCTAGCTTCTATCTAAATACAATATAGCATGTCCTGACTGCGGGGTTTTGGAAACAAATTAAAACGTACAGCTCTGTTATCACTTCCAACATAAATGAAGACAGAAAACTAAACAGCAGTGACGTTTGTAGGGTTACTGAAGTTTGGCTAGCTGGTATATAATGATGTGCTACGTGACCGCTAGCGACACAGCTATGTTAGCATAATATAAACAAGCTAACTTTTTTCCCACTCGATAAAAGTTAACGTGAGTGTTCTCGGTGGTCAGGAACAAATGTAATCGCATGGCAGGATGCTGTAAAAGGACCAAACTTCAGCCAGGAGAACAACTGAGATAATCCATCCACAATACGAGGTTAGTCATTCATATACTGCTGCATGGGCTGGGCTGTAGTTACATCCTAAGGTTTTAAAAACTGAGCTTAAATAAATGATTAGCGGTAATAAAAGCCGAGGGAGGTCAACAGGGATCACTGACTGTTTTAGGAGCTTTTTGAGATCAAATAGAAGAAAATACAAAACATTAAACATTTTAACAACACAAAAGCCATATTAACGCAGACTACTTTAGGCCCGGAAGTAGGATTCGTCGCGTCATCACTGAACAACCGGATAGTTTCTTTCAGTGTTTTGGAATTTTGGTTTCTTTACAAAATAAATTCAGGTGAAACTACATTTTCATGGAGCAGCAGTTTTCTGTCACGCTTGTTTCAGACAAGCTGCCGAGCTGTGAACCAAAGACTGAACAGACTGGGTCACTGCAAATCTGTGTGATGGAAATACCTATTTATTGATTATATCACATATGTGTTTATTGCACACGGTCGTGAGACAGTTGGAGACATCCGGGCACCGTTTATCGGGTTAAACAGATGGTGGAGCCTTTTGTTCTTGGCACCTTGTGGGGGACCAGCGTAGCAGCGCCCTGCTGAAGGCCCACTCGCTCTCATCCACACCAGAATAAAGGTGTCGATTACAGCTGACTGTGTCTGTGGACTTTGTTAATTAAACTTCTGCCACACCTGCACGTTTCACGATCAAAGCCCTGTTTAAAAAAAATGAAAGGATTCTGGTGATATTCCTTTTTTATTATGATTATCCACAAATACTTCAAAGCTCAAACTAACATTCACTGCATCCTTCTAACAAGCATAGATCTGTGTTTGTAACCTATTTATTTAGACTGAAGCTACATGCAATGTTTGCTAGCATTTGGAGGAACAAGTGGATCTCTTTCTTTTATCTGGATTCATTCACCCTAACATGTGTGACCAGAGGCCTGGATTTTGGCTTATCCCAGTAACTTCAGTGTAAACTCAGACGAGCAGACTAGGCATGAAATCACCGCCTACTGACCAATCAATTCTCAGAAATAGCGTCACCTGGAAAATCTCTCTGCAGGAAGGTTTGATAGGCTTTTCAGTTGCATCTAAAGTCTTTGTGTTTCCATGATAAGCAAGCGAGTGTGAGATCCTGCATTCAAGGTGGAAGGCCAAAGCGGGCCAGCAGAGAGGCGAGTGTGAGAGCCTGAGACCAGGCTGGAGGGCTGGCATAGATCAGGAGGGAGGCAAGTATGAGAGTGCAGAAAGGCTAGAGAGAGAGGAGGGCCTGCGAGAAGGTTGCAGGGCCTCTGGAGACCGGGATGGTGAATGGATAGCATAAAGAGATGGAGGCTGATGCAGCTCAGAGGATGAAGCACTTGTTAACAGGAGCACAAATGTGACTTAAAACAGACGAGACTTTGATAACACCATCTTGAATGCCAGCTTTATGTTGACTTACCCTGACTTTAAGATTTGAGTGCCTTAGGAACAGGAAAAGCAGAAACCATACGTAGAAGAAGAGAAAACACAGAAACAGGATGGAATGCGGGTCAGCGGTCCATTTGTGGAAAAGAGGAGCTGAAAACACCAAAGGCACACATTTCCTGCCTATATATTTCTTTAGTGATGAGCTTTGAAATGTGGCCATGGAACATTATGAACAGAAATAGAAGCTTGCAGGTTCTAATTGAAAGCCTATCCTAAATTGGATCTTGAATTCGGGACAGGTGATATGGTGACAGCCAGAATTTGCCAAGGGGAGGATTTAGCCCTCAAAAAATGTCACTCATCCAAGCAATCTGAGTATGAACGACTGGAAAAGGGGCTACAAGGGATCACTAAGGGTTTTGTCTTAGGCAGCAGTTGTCCTTCTCTCCTGGACGGCCTGGAGCTTTCGTTGGGTGCCCTACCAGCTGGGATAACTGCATTTACTTGATGTGATATTCTTCTGCTTCACTGGGCGCTACATCTGGTGACACCCAGTTTGTGCTTCTGTGGATGTGTCAAGCTGATCCATATGCACTGGTTTACAGTACATCATCAATGTCCCCCCTTACTCACCGTCTGCATATGATTGATCGTGAAACTGACCTCCCAGCCCATTGTTCCTTCAGTGGGCTGGTTTCAGTCACTGTGCAAATGTCCTGTTTATAAGGTTGAAACCTGCAGTCAGCTGAGACTGAAGACGTCACCTGATGAGTGAAAACGCGACGCCCTGATGAACTGAATCAACCTTTGGAACATGGATGACTGAGCATGCATCAAGATGGAAAGCACATCACAGCAATTAAAATTCTGAAATGACCTCTTAACTATTACTGACTCCGGGAAATCTGCTGCTTTAGTACTTTTAGACCTCGGTTCTGCTTTTGATATCATATATTATGGTGTCCTTATCTCCTGGCTGTAGGACTTAGTGGGCATCAGAGGGACTGCACTGGAATGGTTTCAATCTGATTTTACTAATCACCTTTGGCTCTGCTTTTAAAGCTCTCCTCACTGAGGACAGGTAGCTAACAGGTGACCAGTTTGTCACACAACCATTCACACTCATGGGAAATTTAGACTCACCAATTACCTAACTACTAATGGCATGTCTTCAGACTGTGGGAAGAAGCTAGCTACCAAAAGGAGGACCTACACAAACACGGGAAGAACATGCAAACTCCAGGCAGATGACGGATTTGAACCTAGGACCTTCATTCTGCGAGGTAACAGTGCTACTCGCCATGGCACAGGGTTAGGGTTAGCCTAAAGCACCAATAAAAACTCAAAACTGAAATTTGTGCTGCTATTTTCTGTGCTGTCTAAGTTCAACTCAATTCAATTTTATGTATATAGTCACAACAACAGTTGCCTCAAGGTGCTTTGTATTGTAAGGTTGACCCTACAATAATACATACAGAGAAAACGCAACAATCAAATGACCCCCTATGAGCAGCACTTTGGCGACAGTGGGAAGGAAAAACTCCCAGAGGTTAATAACAGATATGATTCAGGGCAGAGAGGTCTGTTAACACACAGTGAGTGAAGAAGAAACACCCAGTGCATCATGGGAATCCCCCAGCAGCCTACGTCTATTGCAGCATAACTAAGGGAGGATTCAGGGTCACCTGGTCCAGCCCTAACTATATGCTTTAGCAAAAAGGAAAGTTTGAAGCCTAATCTTGAAAGTAGAGATAGTGTCTTGAAACCTTGATGAAGCTAAAAGTTAAATATCACAGTCTCAAGAGTGAATGATAGAAGTTACCAAATCAGAATTTTCTGCAGGCTTTCAAACCTGCACTGGTACTAATATAGCACTCCATTTAAATACTCAGAGTTCTTTCTACTACAGGTCACATACATCCAAGCATACACACTCATGCTTCAGTATTTTGCCCAGGAATACTTTGACACAGAGACAGGAGGAGCTGGAGATCGATCGACCATCCTTCCGATTGGTAGGCAAGCTGCAGTATCTTCGCAAGAACCTTCTTTTCAGCACAAACATTATAGGACTCACCCCCTCCACCCGATGGTAAGGCCCAGCAGAGTTCTCCAGGTCCAAAAGGACACCATTGAGAGACCATGTGAAGGTAAGATCCATAGCTGCATCATGGGAGGCATGGCACTGGAGCGTCACATTCTCGCCCTGATTTATGTCGGCATTAGAAGGGGCCAGCGTGATCTTGGTGGCATCTGTGAGGGGGTAAATAGTTCTGATTAGCAAGACCTTGTCCAAATGTCTGAAGATACCAAAATAAAAAATAAACAAGTCTGACAGTTTGGAAAATGTATTCATAGATGTTCTTGTGTACCATTCAAATGCTTTCTTGTTTTCTTCAGTCAGCGGTGCAACATGTCCTGGCCTTACAGAGGGCGTTTTTTAAATCGACAAACAAACTCGTTTTTTCCAGGATAAATGAAGAACTTCTAAATAAATGAGACACCATTTCCTCTCCAGCTTATCTGGAGGGGTAATGTTGGGTTTGATTATTATTTGGGATTAATATAATTAAAAATCTTTTACTGATTGAATAATTATGTAGAAACCTGCAGAAATATCAGTGAAAATGTAAGAATGTGTGGGGCAGATGTAGACATGATAACTGGTACCAGCAGCTTCTCCCCACCAGATTGAACCGGTTAGATAGACAGATGCACGTTCACATGTAAAACTCTGCCAGGGGGTCACTCTCTTTTGGGAAGACTGAGTGTTTTACGCCTGTGGTTTTCTAAACAGACCAGTTCCATGTACATGATACTTTTTAATTATTCAATGCTTTAATAAATAGTAATCAAAAGAAGAAGTGTTTTACTGGTGATTCGTCAGGGTGGATAAACAAACATGTTAACAGCTATCTGCCTTAAGGTGTGCATTTAAGGTCACCAGGTCAAATAATTCTGATTGGAGGCTTTCTTTTTCGGAGGAGCCGCAGTAGTGAACACAAGACAATCAACCACTGTGGGACTAGAGCAGCGGTCCCCAACCCCCGGTTCTCGGACCGGTACCGGTCCGTGAGTCGTTTGGTACCGGGCCGCGGTACCGAGGCTCAGGTGTGAAATGTCTGGTTTTCAGGGTTTTTATCGGTTTTCAGCGTTATTTTGTTATCGTTTTTATCGTTAACTCGGTTTTCCTGGGTCTTTTCACGTGTGTTATGAATAAATCTTCTTTTTTTCGGTACCGGTACTGGTTTTATTTTGTTGTATTTATCTGCGACACCTTAAAGGCCGGTCCGTGAAAATATTGTCGGGCATAAACCGGTCCGTAGCGCAAAAAAGGTTGGGGACCACTGGACTAGAGGACTCATATCCTTTCATTACAGGGACACTGGTGTTCCAGCAGTCTCCAGTTCACGTACACTTTTTTGAATTGGTGGGTTGATCTGTGGCTCCTCCAGTCTCCATGCCAAAACTAAGTTTGATTAAGACAGTGAACCCTGAGTTCCTCCTTTTGCATTCATCAGAGTCTGAATGTTATATATTGTCTCGTTCATGCTTGATACAGTCGAAGGTTCAGGACCACTCAGTTCTATTAATTTACGAGAATGCGTTTTCAAACATAATTACATTTCAATGAAATAATTAATTCATGGACGTGTGTCAGAAGAGAACACAAGCAATCCAAAGTGCACAGTTAAGCTTATCTCGACTTTGAGATGATTATAGCGACTAGCAATAGGAACAAAGGCTTCAACTCACTGACATGTGGCATGAGGTTGTTTGTTACTTATGGCTGAGTTGTTGAGTTGTGTACCTCTCACAGACAGGTGTCCAGTGCTGTTGGCTTTGCCGAGGTAGTTTTCAGCAAAGCAGGTGTACTTTCCTTCATCTGCTCTGCTGATGTTATAAATCCACAAGATGCCATCTGGAGTTACTGCTATTCTGAGAAAAGACACAGTACAATATAACCCTTAATTTAATCTAAAACATTGTATGTGTTTGTACATGGAAAACTTAACTTATTCCAAGTTGTCTACGGAGCTTAGAAAGAAAGAAAGACAGCGACTGGACTTCTTAAAGGTTTGTGAAGACATTTCTTTCCTCGCCTAAGAGGTGTGTTCAGTGCTAAAACCAAATGTTTAAGAGTCCCAGGTATTTAAACTCTAGAGGGGTTGACCCTTTAGTCGATACTATTTATCATTTACCTCATCACATGAGCCAAGGTGTCATTTCCACCAGAGGTTTCAGGTGAAACCACTGTGAGTCCTTCTCCCACCATGTGACCTACTTAAGTCACCTAACGCAACAGTCAGTACGAGACTTATCAGTCTTTTAAGTGTTGTGGATGTTATACATGGTTATGCTGAGGATATGTCGGCCAGTTTCTACTGGAAATGCCTTTTGTTAGTGAGGAATTTGCATTTGCACTGTTACATTTTTATATTTTTACTGAAGAAAACAGCTGCTTGTTTCAGTGAAAATACATTGATGGTTTTTTTTGCACTAATAAAGTTGTGGAGTTGTAAAGTATTTTGTCTCACGTCAATTATGTTGTCAGTTATATCGTTATCGCAAATTTCCAAATATATATCGTGATAAATATTTTTGGCCATACTGCCCTGCCGTACGCTCAAATTAAACTTTTCTTTGCTCAAATTAATTTTCTCCCCAAAATGCAATGTTTGTATACAGGCACAAACATAACATTGGTTTATTTTGAGTGTTTTTCTTCTTCATGGGAGGCACATACATTGTTCCATATGCTGAAGTTGAATGCTTTTTGGCAAGTGCTGTTGTGCAATACATATAAACGTCAGAGAGCTGATATTTGACCTCACTGAGATGTTGAGTTCTAGTTTTGTACTCGCCAATGAGGAGTACATTCTTTGGGAATTAGAGTATAACATGCTAACATGCTCATTATGAACAATGATCATAATGCACGATGCGATGTGCTGCACAGTTAAGCATTATAGCGGAACGTGATTACTCGTTTTTTTTAAATGCCTTTGTTATTATATTTTGACATTGTCCATTAAATTGTTCTTAGTATTTCTTAGTTTCAGACTCAAATGTTTTTCCTCATTTAGTCAACTAAGAAATTGGTCACCAGGAACATCCAACCTGGTAATGACCCACGCCTTTTTTCACACCTTGGCTCATGTAATGAGGCACATGATTAAAACAGGTCAACAACACTCTTAAGGGACAACCCCCACTAGGGCTTCAATCCCTGGGACTGGTTTTAGATTTAAAGAAGCCTCTTGGATGAATCCAGTCGGTTTCTTTCCAAGCTCTAGGGTTTAAAGTTTGTCTGCTATTATTGTAGCCAAACAACTTTGAATTCACACCATTTGCAGATGAGTTTTTGAAAGAATGACAAACTTACATATATCATTAGGTGTATAAATGTACACCACTAAAGTGAATTTTAAATCAAACAATCAATATGTAATCTACCGTACTTTTTGGACCATAAGGCGCACCGGATTATAAGGTGGACTGTCAATGAACGGGTCTGTTTTCATACATAAGGTGCACCTGATTATGAGCATTAAGCAAACAAAACAGTCAGATAAATCAAACTTTACTCAGCTCATTCTTCTTGCTTCCTCCACTTCTGTACCATTGATTCATTAATGCTGTATTCTCTCACAGCGGCTCTATTCCCATGTTGTTGCAGTATATTAATGACTAACCTCGTATTGTGGATGGATTATCTCAGTTGTTCTGACTGAAGTTTGGTGTTTACAGCATCCTGCTATGCGATTGCATTTGTCTCTAACCATCAGGAACCTTAACGTTAACTTTTATAAGTGGAAAAGTGTTAGTGTTCGTCCTCCAGCTTCACTGTTTATGTTATGCTAACATAGCTGTGTCGCTAGCGATCACGTAGCACATCATTATATACCAGCTAGCCCAACTTCAGTAACACTACAAACGTCACTGCTGTTTAGTTTCCTGTCTTCATTTATGTTGGAAGTGATAGCAGAGCTGTACGTTTGAATTATTTCAGAAAAATCTCAGTCAGAACATGTTTAGGTGGAAGCTAGCGAGCTAACTTCCTGCTAACGTCTAACTCTGTTATATTTAATAAATTCTGTTTTCATGGATTCCTGCATGTTAAACTTAATAGTTACACCTGGTAAAGCAGCAACACTGATGATTTTATTACAGATGGAAGAATTTAGACTGTTTTTACCTCTCAGTGTTCGTTTGACTTTAGGACCTCAAGAAGAAGGAGTTTAGGACTTGAAGCAGGCAGAGTCTGGGACCCAGATCACTCCGCGAGGCTCCTGACTACAGTAGCTGTAATGCTCCAACAATCCATCAAGCGGTGCGGCTTCGAAGCTTAGCAAAGTCATACTAAAACATTTTTGACAGATTTTTGAGCGCCGTGTAGCACATAAAATCAGTTTGAGGTCAGTAAGCACAACCAGAATTCATACATAAGGTGCGCTGTCGATCTTTGAGAAAATTAAAGGATTTTATATATATATATAATCCTTATATTGCAGAAAATACGGTAAGTGCACACTTTAAATTTAAATTCAAGGTATTTAACAAAGGTACTATATTAATTGTTATGTTATTACAGCCAATTTTGTATATTGTCTACCATCTCCAAAAACTTAAAATTAACAAAACTGTCTCTGTCTATATATTGTTTTTTAAGTATAGGTTATATATACTTGGCTACTCTGACTGGTATGATAGACTCCTTTACTTGCAACAACATCTCTCTGGACCTCGTGTTGAAAGTTCCATTAAAAATAATAATATACAAATCAATGAGTTCAGTGCTTGGAACAACAGATATTTTATCTGTGTCATTTATCATAGAATAGCATGGGAACAGGCCTCAGCTAGCTGTGAGACTGCTTTCAGTTGTTCTTGTACTATTCATGGAATAGAAGCTTACAAAAATGAAAGACCAAGCAGCCAATGTTCTTTTGCAGCCATCTGTGTGCATCACACTTTGGCCTGAGATGCTACATGAGGGTGCACAAAACAATCAGTGCTAGGATCGACTTTACTGACCATGGTAGTTGACCATACATGCTGTTTACACTGTAGTATGAACTGTAACACTGGCTTAGCTAGGGAAATACCTGCTGCTGTTGGTGAGCAACTCTGTTCCACGACTCCAGAACAGACTGGGCTTCGGGGCAGCTCGAGGGCGACAATCAATCATCACCTGTCCCCCTCTAGCTGCTGGAATAAGCTTCCTTACTGGATTCAACCGGAAGTCTGGAGCCTGAACTGAAAGGAAGAGACACACAAGGATAGGGGAACAAAAGAGAGTGGTGCATTGCTGTCAATTGTATCTCCTGTTTGTTTTAATCCAACGAAAAATTAATACGTTTTTTTACACGTAATGGCATGCTTTTATTATGTTGTCTTTAGGAATTATCAATACACCTTTTTACAGGTAAAAGTAGAATAGATTGAAGTAACAAGAGTCCTATTTATGGGCCAGTAACTAAAGAAACAGGTATCTGTGTCTATCACATAGACTTAAGTGAGAATGCTGAGACAGTGACAGTCAGTGAGAAGGACTCTCGCTGGGGTCAACCCACAAAAAGTTACTGGACCAGACAATATACCTGGACGTGTGCTCAGAGCCTGTGCCAACCAGCGGACATTTTCAACATCTCCCTGAGCCAAGCTGTTGTGCCACAGTGCTTTAAAAACACCACCATCAGACCAAACTGGACCCACTACAGCTCACATACCACACAAACCGATCAATGGATCTCAGGTTGGACATACAAGATCCATCACACTGAGCACAGGAACTGTGTTCGACCCCTCCAGAGGATTGTGTGGAGCACATCGTTGGCAGCTCTCTACCCAGCCTACTGGACATTTATACCTCATGCTGCATTCATAAAGCCACTACCATCATGGCTGACCCGCATCACCACCCCCTCCAACTTTTTACTTCTCCCCCATCCAGAAGACGACTCTGCAGCATCAGGAGCAGGTTGGCGAGATTGTGCAATAGCTTTTCCCCCAAGCAGTCCAGCTCCATGCTGCCCCCCTCCACACTGGACTCTCTTCTCCACACACACTTCTTTGGACTACATAACACTTTCCTCTCACTGTCCTCTGTGCATCTTCCTTTTGTTTTGCATATTATAATTTGTATTTTTATTGTGTTGTGGTTTGCAGTGTTTTGTGTTGTTTCACTTTCAATTAGTTTAAAAGGAAAAGGCTGAAAATTTAAATAGTTAAAAGTTGAAATGTAAATATTTGGTCTTTGTATTTTATAATTTGTTTATTGCATTTTATGTGGAGTAAATAAATAAAAGTATACTTACGGTGGCCCCTACAGACAAAGCCCGTACAAACTCCGAAGCATGTGAAACCTCCAAAATGCAACAGAAGTGCTCCAGGATGCTAGGGGGCAGTGTGGAGCTTTTGTTACCGAATGGCTACACAAGCCAGGAAGTGACAATGACCGATTTGGTGTGTGGTAGTAACAGGTGAGTGCTTGTGTATAAATACACAAACAATACACATATGCTTTCAATTGTGTAATAATAATAATAATGGATTGGATTTATATAGCGCTTTTCAAGGCACCCAAAGCGCTTTACAATGCCACTATTCATTCACTCTCACATTCACACACTGGTGGAGGCAGCTACGGTTGTAGCCACAGCTGCCCTGGGGCAGACTGACAGAAGCGAGGCTGCCATATCGCGCCATCGGCCCCTCTGGCTGTAATTTAAGTGATCTTGGTAGCTCTGTTTTGGAAGTTCAGTTAACTCTAGAAATGTGTTTTGGAGTTTGTACGTGTTTTGTCTCTAGGGGCCACCGTATATATTTATATATAAACATATATAAATAAAACCACTTTTTTTTTACATTAGTAATTACTTTTGTCCATAATTTTATATTGTTGTTGATAATAAATTAATTAAAGCAACAAAACAACCTGAAGAGCCGGCTGGGAGCCGAAAGAGCCGGAGCTGGAATTCCCATCACTAATTCTTACTCTATTTCTATTCAAGTACAATACTGTTGTACTTATTCGTAGTTTATCTTGTTTCTGTATAGTTGTACGTATGTATTTGAATTTCTTTCATTGTACAGTCTGCACCTTTGATATAGGAGGACGATATTTCACCCGACTGTATACTTGAGTGTATATTGTTGGGTTGACAATAAAAACTACTTGGCTCGAGAATGAAAAGTCTCTATCTACCTTGGACCCTGAGCTCAGCAGTCGAGTAGATGGTGCCATGCTTGTTTTCAGCCACACACTGGTACATGCCAGAATCCTCCAGAGCAAGGTTGATGATTCTAAGATGAACTCCATTCACCTCCACACGATCCTTGAGGTCCGAAGAAGGTAAAGAAGAGATAAAGTTACAGAAAGCACAAACCGATCTGTGACATGTGTAACAAAGCATGCTGTACAGTACTGCATTATTCAGCTCACTGTTTGCAGAAATAACTAAAGTGACAATTAAACTATTAAAGGACAAAAGCCATATTCATACACGCAGGTGTTCTTAGGTCGAATCATTAACTGAAGCACAGCTTTCCTTATTTGTCTGATTATGCTTTGGCTCCTTTTTTCACTGCTTTTAAGAGGCAGTATCCATGGTTGGGATCAAGACGAAGTCCCTAATAAATAAGGAACTTATGAAAGTTATGCCACAATGTGCTCATAGCCCTCTCCATAAACCCCATGCCCCATTTTAAGGAGTTTTCAGATTTACAATATCTCTAAGGTCTTGGAACTTCAGAATACTATTCCAGAAGGTTAATGAAGCCATTTCTGAACAACTGCAGATTTTGAGGTCAGTTCTAGAAATTGGACATAAATACAAGTTATTCTGATTTGCTGTTGTACTCAGAATCAGAATTCTTTATTAATCCCTAAGGAAATAATGTGGGTTACAGTTGCTCCTGTACAGTAACAAAAACAGACAACAAACTATTTAACAATACAATATGTTACAGATTTACAAATTTAAGAAATAGCACAATATATACAAATCACTCAATAATAAATATCAATGATTGACAGAGGTGGTTATAGATAAATATCAAGAAAGTTGAGAGCAACATTAGCGAGTAAGAGAAGAGCATGTGCAAAAAGGTGTAACTATTACAGTGTTTAAAGCCTATTAGATGGAGGAGTGGTGCAGCGATATCCTATGTCGTTCAGTGGTGCATCATGGGTAATCTCAGTCCCCCACTGAGTGTGCTCCTGTGACTGGCCAGCACGTCATGGAGTGGGTGGGAGGTATTGTCCAGTATTGTCTTTATCTTGGACAACATCCGCCTCTCAGACACCACCCTAAGAGAGTCCAGCTCCGTCCCCACTACGTTACTGACATTACCCTATTGTAGGGTACTGTAGGTGAGGTAACTGTTGTTGTGATGATGTGCTATATAAATAAAAACTAAAAATTTAAATTGATCTGATTGAAAATCCAACCTGTCACCCACCCATGAGAGGAAATTTGTTAGGATGTAAGACCTACCATAGAACCAAGTCCGCCAGAGCTTACTTTATATTTTTACATGCTGTGGAGCCATTTTTGGGAGCATTTCAAGTTTCTATACATCAATACAACTGTTATAGCCCAGATTTTAATAATATGTATGCATTAAGTCCATAGTAACTACATTAATTACAAAAAAGTGCAATAAACTACAAAAGAATTGAAAATCGTTTTTGGTTTTTTTACATATATTTCTACTTGGAGAAATTTAAGAGGCTTATCCCTCAAAACTTTAAATACAAAAAAGTTGCAAAAATAGTTTCCCACCACAGGAAATTTATTTTGAGTGTCTTCATAGTTTTATTTTGGAGATACAGCAATTTCTATATACTGCAGGAAAAACAAAAAACAATCCTATGATGCAAATTTGCAAAGAAAACAGCATCAAAATAAACTATTTCCAGCAGTGCAATTCGAGTTCTAAGCATCCCAGCAACTATTCAGAAAAGCATAAAGTCAACCATGACTTATAAAAACACCAGTATAGGCTTTTAAGGCCTACAAGTAAAAAACTATATTTTTCACGAATGTGACGTCACTTCCGGTTTCGGGCAGGAAATGGCGGACATGTGACAGTTCGCGCTGAAGTCTGTTTCACTGTGGGAAGTGTTACGAACAGCTGATCGGATCGGCAAAGCGTGTTTCTGGAATATTATGTTTTTGTTCCTGCAAGGCTTTTTATGCAATTTTTGCAAAGCTATATGTGGAAGGAAACCGTGACCGAGGACAAGCTGATGGCATCAGATGTAAGTACAACTCCTCCGGTTTCATATGCAAAACAAATTATTGCGCTAGCTCACGCGGTTCCGGTTCTACAGGGATTTAAAAATAGTTACGCAAAACAGAGCGTGCCGCTCTGACCGGCTTTAAAGGGTTAAGGAACAACACAGAAAGCACCAAGGGTTGAGGCTGCCACCAGCTGGAACTACTGGAATGCCCACAGTACCATCATGATGGGCTGAGAGGTTGTCATCAAAGAAATATCTCTCTGCTTCAAAATCGAGTCCAAAGGATAACTGTACCCACATGGTCATGTCAAATGCCTTCTTCAGAAGTTTTATGGTCAGGTGTGTGTGTGTGTTGTGTTACCTGTGTACTAAGTGGCTGTCCATTGCGTAGCCAGCGTACAGAGGGTCGAGGTTTTCCAGCAGCCACACAACTCCACTGAAGATCTGAGCTAATCTCCACTTCTGAGTCGATCATCACCTGCAACCACTCTGGTTGAGCTGGACGAGAAGAAAGTCAAGAAAAAACAAATACACATGAGCTATAAAATGAACACGAGTGCATTAAAATGAAATGACACATGCTTTGCTGCACAATGAAGAACCTGTAGTCACCTTGGACATTAATGCGTCCCTGGTACGTGTCCCTTCCTTCTGAGTTGTAGGCTTCACACTCATAAATGCCCTCATCGTCAAAGGAGAGTTCAGGAAGGGTCAGGGTGGGACCCTCCACAGTGGGGCCTGCCTTGGATGGCATTAGACCATCCACCTTCCTCCACCGCACCTTTGGAACTGGACTTTAAGATGAAAAGCAAAGCGAGAGTTGAGAGATGGAAGTAAGAGGTCAATAAAATGCAGTGCAGCGATCAGAGAGTGATAATTAGGTTTGAGGTATGAGGATGTAAAAATGGCTGGACATGTATTACTACAGCTGAACCGCATCACTCTATAATATAAGACACATCAGAAGCATCACACAGCAATTTCTGCGATGGACACTTACTTTCCATAAGCAAAGCACTCTAACTGGGTGGTGTGTCCAGCCAGGGCATAGGTATCTGCCAGGAAGCGCACTTTAATGGTTGGAGCTGACTTCCTGGGATTGGCTGGAATGAAAAAGCAAATCTTCTTAGATTAGATTATCACTTAATTCTGTGCCATAACCTCTTTTTAGTGTAAAAATCCAAATCCTTTCAGTCTAAATGAGATCCTTAGTGGAAGGCTTGGGCCAGTATTCCATGGGCTGACCAGCAGGGTTACTGATGAGAAGGAGAAAGTCAGCAGCTGTCTCTGAGTCGACTTTGCTTCAGCCTTTAGTAAACTGATAACAGGCAAGCTAATGCCACAACTTAAAACTGGACGTTGCACTGGGCTATCAGTGAACAACAACACCCTGTTATCCTATGTTTTTAGAATCATTGATGCTCAACTACAGACAGCGGAACAACTATATGTGAGGATGCTAAGAGACGAGTGATGCAGCTGTAGGTCTTTCATACCATCAGGGACTACCGTGAGCTGGTTGGCCTTGCTGAATGTGCTCTTCGTGCTAACTTCCATGTTGATCGTTGTGAAGCAGAAGTAGTTTGCTGTGTCATTAGGTTCAGCTTTGGCCAGGTACAGATTCCCCGTGACCTGTGACACAAACCAGCGCCCATCATCCTTCCTGATGAAGTTGGGAAACTCGTTGAGAAACCAGCGGTAAGACAGCGCTAGAGAAGAAAAGAATCGCCGTCAGTCACTTTAGTCGTTTCATTCTGTCAGCGCTTAGATTTCACTGTAAAAAGTCACAATCATGACAGTCACAATGTATCAGTGAGAGATTTCATTTCATATTTACTGTCATATTCTGCCCCTCTGACCTGTTAATCACCTTCTGGCCCTGGGCACTAGTGGTGAAGTGGCTAGCTGCAGCACGACTCTTTTTTTCTTAGTCAAGGAAAATGATGCAAAAGAAAAAACTAATGTTCCAGCCACACACAGGACTATTCTGTGGCTCTCTGACAATATATATAATAAATTATCATTTTCAAGAACAATGAAACAGAGAGGTACCTGGGTAATGTGGAGGAGGTTGGCAGGCCAAGAACGTTCCTTGACCTTCAGTTATTGTTTGAGGACTTCTGCCATCTGGAGGGAAGTCATGGAGGTCTGGAACAAGCAAATGCAGACAAATAAGTAATAAATGCTGAAAAAAACAGAGAAAAGTCCTAAAACCAGCGAGCTCTGATCCAGAAGCAGACAAAGAATGTAAACTCGTGTTTTTGTCTGGTGCCTTTTCTGCCATGTTTTTAAAGCCGGCAGCTCAAACAAGTAAAATGACTGAAAGGTCTTTATTACTTACAACCAAACTTGAGGTTGGCTGCTCTGCTAATGATGGTGCCACAGCGGTTGATAGCTAGACACTGGTAAGAGCCTGTATCCCGGATGGGGTCGGGGCTGCTTATCACCAGGGTACCAGCCACCAGGGAGTATCGGTCCAAATTCAATGGAACCGCAGTCCCATTCACAAGCCACCTGCATGATAAATGGAAATAATCATTTGATTCAGGCTTTTTTTTATCCTGCAGTATAAAAAAAATAATTCAAATTTTATGGTAGTTTCATTTTAATGGAGTGAAAAAGAAACATTTGACTTTAAAGATCCAAACTGATTTGGATGTCACTGAGTTAAAAAATTCCAGCTCTCACAGATTAGCTGTGTGCCCATGGAGCAGTCACAGATATGGCTGGGCAGGTTTAGCTAACAACTGAGTTTGTTCAGCCTGAGATGCTGCAACTCTGGCTTCCTGTTGCAGATAAAAAGTTCACTTCAACTTTGAGTCAGTCACTGGGGTCTGTGATACTAACATACTCACGGCCAGCTTTTCTCAAACAAACCCCAAGTTTCTCTCTAACTCCTCCCATCCTGCTGACTGACTCTCCGATCCATGTCCTCACTCATAAAGGAGTGGACACATTTCCAGAAGGACTTGACCTTAGCAGCTAAAGAAGGGCAGGAGACTGATGCTGTCCAGTGGAGCGAGTGATTTATTCACCATTTTGTGACCAAACAATATTTACAAAACTTAATAAGAAACTCAACTCCATAGTTAACTCAGTTCAAATAAACATAACTGAACTTAATTCAATGGAAATGAAGGTGAAAATGTAAACAGCTACACTGACCTGGTTCTTTTCTGCTTAAATGGTCCACTTAAACAATCTCACCCTGGACTACTCCATTAGATAGGTAAGACAAACATTTCTGGACTCAGACACAATACGTATTACAACAAATCAATTTCTCTATAAACACAGTCTAAAATCAGTTTTATTAAATTACAAAGGTTCTCCTGCTTCTTCACCTGGTGTCTTCCTGTGACCTCAGATTAACCAGGAAGCTATAAATACAGTAAAACTACATTTCCTGCTTTTGTTCCTGGCACACTGGTAGGTAAGGTGAGTTCAAACTAAACCAATTAACAGTTGAAATGGAAAAAAAAAAACATGTTAACTTAACAAACCTGTCAGAATCGATTTAAACCAAGATTTTACATGATATAATCTGTAAAAGTGGAAAACATAACCAAACTCGGCCAAATGAAGCTTTCTGAAGTATTGAAGCACGTTTTCATTACTCGAAGCTTTTCAACACAGTCCTCTCTGGTTGACATCTGGTGGCCAAAGATATGAAGAGCAGCTTGAATCCACAAAATAAAACCAACTGCTTCATTATGACTGCTCACGCTGCAGAGTGGAGTTCTGTTTGACACTGGGCCACCGCTGTGCTGCTTTGAACATGTTTTTGTTTGTTTATTTATTTAATAAATTATTGTGATCAATAAAGTTCCCTTGTTCAAACATGCACCATGATGTGGTCTTTCTTTACTTCTGACTTCTTGATGTTGGCAAATACAATAAGTGAAAAATACATATAATAATGTACAACACATTATTGAGTATGCTTCTGCTGTGAGGTCCTGCCTCCATGCACTAATCGCTGGACAGCTGGACAGGTATGTTTATAAATAATATTATATTAGGCCAATTTTCTTACACATATTTTTGACCTGGGGGTAGATTGATTGTGAACTGGAAAGAGATCATGCATATGTACTTGCAAATTAAAGACATGATCCATTTAAGGAAACCCTTTTAAATTTTTATTTAAAAAGAGAATTTGTTCCTTCGTGCGATGGCTGAGATGATTTCTCCTTTGAAGAAAATCCTCTCACACAGAAACTGTAGAGATGCAGGTGTACGGTCTTCCTGGGTCCCACAGACTATCAGCCAGAAAACATTTTGAGATTATTTTTAAAATAAAATATATTTTATTACATTAAATAAAAAGAGTCAAATGGATGTGTTTCTAAAGTTATTTAATGATATTTATATTATGAAAAGCAGATTTTTGACATGTTAAGTTTTTCACGTTTTCAGAAAAAATAAACACGCACTAAACAAAAACAAACAACAAGAACACAAAGCTGGAAAACCCAACCAAAACTGACCAAAATCAACTCTAAATACTCCCACGCGACAGAACCTCCTCGCTTCCTCGCTGGCTCCAAATCTCTCAATACAATAATCAGTGGTTTGCTGTCTCTCACCATCAAAACACTCCATGAATCCCGCGAATGATTCACTTCCCTATAAACCACCGAAGCAGTTAGGTTCTAAATGAAGCTTCGGACGTCACTGATCACGTGACTCTGGCCAAACAAATCAAGTCTCCACACAGTGCTTCTTTTTGACACACACAGCGTCAGCTTCAAGCGGGCCACCACTAATGTTTGATATTACAGAATACATATGAGATATGGCTAAATCAAAACAAGAATGTTAACTAAGAATATAGACAAGTGGTGTTCTCACCCACTTGGTTTACATTAGTTGGCTATTCTGTGATTTTCCAGTCGCTCAGTTATCAATATAAAAGGACAGAAACACAACAATGTGTCTAACGACTGGATCTTGGAGAAAATGTAAATATTAGAGTCAGAATGAGGACTTAACACCTGAAAACATATTAAAAGTATTAAAACTAATAACTGAAATTCAGAGTCTGAGTCTGGCCTCAGCGGGCTGATCCACCCAAAGATATCATAGGTTCTGTAAGAGATCGGCTACTGTGTCCAAGTCTATTTGCACGGTAGGATGAATCCAATGAGGAACACATTTCAAATCACAGATTCAGCATGATCAGTCAATGCTGACACCTGTGTAACCCATATTTAAGTATGGCTTGGATAAAATGTACCAAAACATAAAAAAAGACTATCAATCTTAGCAGTCACACTCGGTTTATAGTGAATGAGCCACAGGTTCAGCAGTGAAAGAGTTAAGAGTTCTGAAGTAAACGTGGGTTGCTCTTAGCCAATGAGCTGCTGCAACGTGGTGCAGTGCCCCGCACGCCATCTATGGCTGAGAGAGCGCAGGTTTGTCCTCCTCTCTCACGAATACCCCATGAGCACGCTAGCGAGGAAAAAGAGACGGAGATTAACTGAAATGAGGTACGGGGAAAAGTGATATAAACGGAAGAGTTAGCACTTGCTGCTTATGAAAAATTGTTTTATTGCATGTGTATTGGTAAGACGAGTAACTAGTTTGGTTCCTTTTACATTGTTAGGTCAGGGAAGGTCGAGAATTAGACAACGCCATTTCATCGTTCCTGCGCCATCTCGCGCTCCTGCGCCATTCTTTTTTGAGATCGGTGAGCATTTTAATTGTTTATTGTTTATCTGCACTTTTCATGAGTTCATTGTAAGCAAAATTTTCTAGTATTTATTAGGAAATTGTTTACAATGTTTTGCGAAAAACTTTATTTTACTTATTGAAAAAAAAAGCTTTTGAAACTGTTGCACAGATTGTGTGTTTATTTTCAATTTGTAACATGGGTAACGTTACAAATAGTACATCTTAAGTGATAGCAAGTTGTGATCTGTGATTATATGGGAACTTAATGTCCTATGACACTGTCGTGGACAGGTCAGATTTTTTCCTTTGTGTCCTTCCTATCGATGCATTGCAACGGATCCTGTAATCGATGGCGAGCCAACCCCGTTGACGGACCAATTGACTTTGTTCTGTGCTGCACAGCAGAGTGTGGTAGGCCAGCTGCAACAAAAAAACACACCACGCCACTTTGATATTACTGTTCCCTTTCTTCACACAAACCCCCTGGACTTATGGACGGTTTATTTTAAGGACTTTTTACGGACTCTATACATCCCATGAACAGGAAGAGAAGTGGGTGTGGGCCGTTGGATCTATTTTTCCAACTCAATGGTTGTTGCAATCAGCTAACAAAGTCTGTGAAGTTGCAGATGAACGTTGCTATTTGGATTTTGGTAATTGAGATTGTGGTTTATCTTGAACTTGAACCCTGATTATACACTTAGAAGGGTGCACCCAGGTAAGGTTTTTTTTTAAGTGATTACTGTGATTGTACCACAGGGTCACTGAAGGAAAATACTGGTACCAAAAAGGGATACTTTCATTTGAAAAGTATGTTTGTTATTAATTTTCATTCTTTTATTTTCTGAATGAGTAAAAATACACAAGCCAGCGGTTTTCTAAACTCACAGTTGCCTGAGTCTCATTCAGTTTGCCTCTCCTGTACGTAGCCGAACCTACTGGTCCAAAGCAGTGAGCTCTTTTGCATCAAATGTGGGTGAAGTACAGTTCAGTCCAAACTGAAGGCCTATAAAAAAGTGTCTCATTACCAATGCACCCGATAAACAGCTTGTGATGGGTAAAACCAATGAGCTCTCACAAGGTCTTTGCAACCTAATTGTTGCAAAACATACTGATGGCAGTGGTTAGTCCACAAGTGGAAAGAACATCATTTTGACATAAACTGGCCATGACCAGGTGCCCCCTGCAAAAAGAAGAGTGAAAAGAATTTTTACAAGGGTTGTCCCAGAGCCAAAGACAACCTGTGGAGAGCTCCAGGAATCAGCAGGTACAACGGTTTCAAAGAAAACAATAAGTAATGCACTTAAGTGCCATATGCACACTCACCACTCCAGACAACATTGCTGAAAGAAAAAGCATGTTGAAGTGTGTTTAAAGTTTGCTGAACAACATTTAGACAAGCCTGTGAAATGTTGGTTGACTAGAGTCTGGTTAGATGAGACCAAAACTTCAAGATCAAGTTTTTGAATGCAATAATATGAACCATGTTTGGAGGTCACAAGGCACTGCATGGACATCTGTGGCTTGATTTCTTTACACGTGTGGACTGGATGTGTTGTTACTGATATCTGATGAGAATTTCATATCAAAAGCACTTTTAGAAATATATTTACTTAGAAAATTGGTGACGTGTTCAGTACTTATTTTCCCCACTGTACAAATTCACCAGGGGATCAAAAGATTATTCGCCCCATTCTAAACCAAAATAAGACAGCAATTTAATATAGGAATCAAAGTAAGTACCCTAAAACAAACTTAGAAGACCAACTCATTTTATAAAATGTGGGCTCCACAGGGAATGAGTGTGTAAGACTCACCTATAAGCAGCAGCTGGATTTGCTCTGGCCTGACAGCTCAGGGTCACTTTGCCTTCAGTCAGGCCTTCAGGGTAAATTAAACTGCTCGGCTGTTCTTCAAACACTGGCCCGCTGTCATGACCTGCCACACACACATCTCCACCTGGAACCAAAATAACAATGATAACATTATAAAAACACCCAGCACGCCCCTGCGGGCGGTTTACCCTTCAAGCTCGGGTCCTCTACCAGAGGCCTGGGAGCTTGAGGGTCCTGCGCAGTATCTTAGCTGTTCCCAGGACTGCGCTCTTCTGGACAGAGATCTCCGATGTGCTGGAGCCACTCGCCTAGCTTGGGAGTCACCGCACCTAGTGCTCCGATTACCACGGGGACCACCATTACCTTCACCCTCCACATCCTCTCGAGCTCTTCTCTGAGCCCTTGGTATTTCTCCAGCTTCTCGTGTTTCTTCTTCCTGATATTGCTGTCATTCGGAACCGCTACATCGATCACTACGGCCGTCTTCTTCTGTTTGTCTACCACCACTATGTCCGGTTGGTTAGCCACCACCATTTTGTCCGTCTGTATCTGGAAGTCCCACAGGATCTTAGCTCGGTCATTCTCCACCACCCTTGGGGGCATCTCCCATTTTGACCTCGGGACTTCCAGGTTATACTCGGCACAGATGTTCCTGTACACTATGCAGGAACATTGGTTATGGCGTTCCATGTATGCCTTGCCTGCTAGCATCTTGCACCCTGCTGTTATGTGCTGGATTGTCTCTGGGGCATCTTTACACAGCCTGCACCTGGGGTCTTGCCTGGTGTGATAGACCCCAGCCTCTATGGATCTTGTACTCAGAGCTTGTTCTTGTGCTGCCATGATTAGTGCCTCTGTGCTGTCTTTCAGTCCAGCTTTGTCCAGCCACTGGTAGGATTTCTGGATATCAGCCACCTCCTCTATCTGCCGGTGGTACATACCGTGCAGGGGCCTGTCCTTCCATGATGGTTCCTCGTCTCCCTCCTCTTTCTTGGGTTTCTGCTGCCTGAGGTATTCACTGAGCACTCGGTCAGTTGGGGCCATCTTCCCAATGTATTCTTGGATGTTCCTTGTCTCATCCTGGACTGTGGTGCTGACACTCACCAGTCCCCGGCCCCCTTCCTTCCGCTTAGCGTACAGCCTCAGGGTGCTGGACTTGGGGTGAAACCCTCCATGCATGGTAAGGAGCTTTCTTGTCTTTATGTCAGTGGCTTCTATCTCCTCCTTTGGCCAGCCTATTACCCCAGCAGGGTACCTGATCACGGGCAGGGCGTACGTGTTGATGGCCCGGATCTTGTTCTTACCATTCAGCTGACTCCTCAGGACTTGCCTGACCCTCTGCAGGTACTTGGTGGTTGCAGCCTTTCTAGCGGCCTCTTCATGGTTCCCATTCGCCTGCGGGATCCCCAGGTACTTGTAACTGTCCTCTATGTCTGCAATGTTGCCTTCTGGTAGTTCAATCCCCTCAGTTCTGACTACCTTCCCTCTCTTTGTTACCATCCGACTACACTTCTCCAGTCCGAACGACATTCCAATGTCATTGCTGTATAGCCTGGTAGTGTGGATCAGTGAATCGATGTCTCGTTCACTCTTGGTATACAGCTTGATGTCATCCATGTACAGGAGCTGGCTGACAACTGCTCCGTTCCGTAGTCGGTATCCGTAGCCAGTCTTGTCAATTATCTCACTGAGGGGGTTCAGGCCTATGCAGAACAGCAGTGGGGACAGAGCATCTCCTTGGTAGATCCCGCACTTGATGGTGACTTGTGCTATGGGCTTGGAGTTGGCCTCCAGTGTTGTACGCCACATCCCCATTGAGTTCCTGATGAAGGCTCTTAGGGTCCCATTGATCTTGTACAATTCTAGGCATTCCAGTATCCAGCTGTGGGGCATTGAGTCATAGGCCTTCTTGTAATCAATCCAGGCAGTGCACAGGTTGGTCAGTCTGGTCTTGCAGTCTCGGCTGACTGTTCTGTCTACCAGTAGCTGGTGTTTTGCGCCTCTGGTATTCTTGCCAATTCCTTTCTGTGTCCCACTCATGTATTGACCCATGTGTCTGTTCATCTTAGCCGATATGATGCCTGACAGGAGCTTCCATGTAGTACTGAGGCAGGTTATTGGTCGGTAGTTGGAGGGGACCGGTCCCTTCTTGGGGTCCTTGAGGATCAGGACCGTTAGCCATTCCGGGTGTCTCTCGTTAACTAGCAGCTGGTTCATTTGTGCTGCCAGACGCTCGTGGAGTGCAGTCAGCTTCTTTAGCCAGTAGGCGTGAACCATGTCGGGCCCTGGTGCTGTCCAACTCTTCATACTGGAGACCCTTTCTTGGATATCTGCCACTGTGATGGTTACTGGACCCTGTTCAGGGAGGTCGCTGTGGTCTGCCCTCAGATCCACTAGCCACTGAGCATTGCCGTTATGGGTTGCGTCCTTCTCCCATATGCTCTTCCAGTATTGCTCCGTCTCCAGCCTTGGTGGTGCTGTTCTCTTATTATTGTTCCCTTGCCACTGAGAGTACACCTTTGCTGGTTCTGTGGAGAACAGCTGGTTTATTCTCCTGCCTTCTATCTCTCTGGTGTACCTCCTCAAGCGGCTGGCCAAGGCTGTGAGTCTTTGCTTGGCAGTTTCCAAGGCCTCAGGTATGGACAGCTTGCTGTATTTCTTATGCACCTTCTTTGTCGCACCTTTCTGCAACTCCGTTAGTTGGCTAACCTCCCTCCATGCTACTTTGAGCTTGCCCTCTAGCCTCCTTCTACATGGAGGGTACTGCCCATTGTGGCTGTTCAACTTGTAGCCAAGCATCTCACTGATCACTGACCGTATTGTAGATCAGCTTGTTAGTGTCGGTAATCGTGGTTGTAGGTATTGTCCGTAGTGCTGCATTAACATCATCTAGCAGACCTTCTGAGGGTACTTCACGTAATCTCGGTAACCGGCTACGGGGGATCCAAGTTTCAAGCTTGGCCATTATCCTATTTTTCAGGTCAGTTCCTCTCGCACTCAACGATCCTTCTCCTATCGCCCCAGGCAGGAATCTAACCACTACGCTATCCAGCTATATATATATACACACACACACACACACACACACACACACACACACACACACACAGAAATGTCTCTTTCCAAAATAAAAGCTATACTATACGCTTCTTCTGGGCTATATTCTCAGCAGCATATTAAACATATCAGGTCCCCATAAGGAGAATCATGTGCTAACGGCTGTCTAAATGAATCGGGTAAAGTTTGTAGCATGGTGCTTGTTGTTTTTGTCTGCTTCCACTTGTCTTTGCACTAGGATGATGTCAGCGTAAATGTGCAGTCATATTCGTTGTGTTCCACTAGTGCTGTCAGCGTAAATCTCGTTGAAATGACGTTAACGCCACAACACGGCAAATCTCCGTTAACGAGCTACCGCGGATCACCCCGTGCATGGGGCTGGACGGCCAACACGTTAACGAGCTAACTGCGCTAACACACTAGCTCCCACCCATGTAATTGAGCATTGCGTGGCACATCCAACATACTGTTTTACTTTAGTCCATGACGCGCTTACCTTCAGGGTCATACGTCACATGAAGACCAAAATAGTTCCAAACGCCAGATCTGAATGAGGATGGGGGAGGTTCAATTTGCCATGTTGCAAGGAGAGCTTAACTTCTGTCTCGCTAGCTTGCCCTGCGCTCAGTGAATCTGCACTCGACTGCTCCGCTTAGGCTGCACTGTCGAGTGCAGATCCACTGAGCGCTCAACACAGACAGCATCGTCAGAAGAAAAGTTGATAAAATAAATTAAAAATTTTGTATTGTTCGATACATATGCGTACCGAACCGAAAGCACTGTATCGAACGGTTCAATATCAATACGAATATCGTTGCACCCCTAATATTTATATATATATATAGCAGCAGTGATCAGTGAGATGCTGGGCTACAAGTTGAACAGCCACAAGGGGCAGTACCCTCCATGGAGAAGGAGGCTAGAGGCTAAGATCAAGGTAGCACGGAGGGAGGTTAGCCAACTATCGATCGGAGTTGCAGAAAGGCGCGATGACGAAGGTGCCTAGGAAGTACTGGAAGCTGTCCACACCTGAGGCCTTGGAAACTGCCAAGCAACGACTCACAGCCTTGGCCAACCACTTGCGGAGGTACACCAGAGAGATAGAAGGCAAGAGAATAAACCAGCTGTTCTCCATGGAACCAGCCAAGGTGTACTCTCAGTGGCAGGGGAACAATATGAGAACAGCACAACCAAGGCTGGAGGCAGAACAATACTGGAAGAGCATATGGGAGAAGGCCGCAACCCATAACGGCAATGCTCAGTGGCTAGTGGACCTGAGGGCAGACCACAGCGACCTCCCTGAACAGGGTCCAGTAACCATCACAGTGGCAGATATCCAAGAAAGGGTCTCCAGTATGAAGAGTTGGACAGCACCAGGGCCCGACATGGTTCACGCCTACTGGCTGAAGAAGCTGACTGCACTCCACGAGCGCCTGGCAGCACAAATGAACCAGCTGCCAGTTGACGAGAGACACCCGGAATGGCTAACCGAAGGCCGGACAGTCCTGATCCTCAAGGACCCCCAGAAGGGACCGGTCCCCTCCAACTACCGACCAATAACCTGCCTCAGCACCACGTGGAAGCTCCTGTCAGGTATCATAGCGGCTAAGATGAACAGGCACATGGGTCAATACATGAGCGGGGCACAGAAAGGGATGGGCAAGAATACCAGAGGCGCAAAACACCAGCTACTGGTAGACAGAACAGTCAGCCGAGACTGCAGGACCAGACTGACCAACCTGTGCACTGCCTGGATTGATTACAAGAAGGCCTATGACTCAATGCCCCACAGCTGGATACTGGAATGCCTAGAATTGTACAAGATCAATGGGACCCTAAGAGCCTTCATCAGGAACTCAATGGGGATGTGGCGGACAACACTGGAGGCCAACCTCAAGCCCATAGCACAAGTCACCATCAAATGCGGGATCTACCAAGGAGATGCTCTGTCCCCACTGCTGTTCTGCATAGGCCTGAACCCCCTCAGTGAGATAATTGACAAGACAGGCTACGGATACCGACTACGGAACGGAGCAGTTGTCAGCCACCTCCTGTACATGGATGACATCAAGCTGTATGCCAAGAGTGAACAAGACATCGATTCCAAACGAGGAGATAGAAGCCACTGACATCAAGACCAGAAAGCTCCTTACCATGCATGGAGGGTTTCACCCCAAGTCCAGCACCCTGAGGCTGTACGCTAAGTGGAAGGAAGGAGGCCGGGGACTGGTGAGTGTCAGCACCACAGTCCAGGATGAGACAAGGAACATCCAAGAATACATCACGAAGATGGCCCCAACTGAAAGCGTGCTCAGTGAATACCTCAGGCAGCAGAAACCCAAGAAAGAGGAGGGAGACGAGGAACCATCATGGAAGGACAGGCCCCTGCACGGTATGTACCACCGGCAGATAGAGGAGGTGGCTGATATCCAGAAATCCTACCAGTGGCTGGACAAAGCTGGACTGAATGACAGCACAGAGGCACTAATCATGGCAGCACAGGAACAAGCACTAAGCACAAGATCCATTGAGGCTGGGGTCTATCACACCAGGCAAGACCCCAGGTGCAGGCTGTGTAAAGATGCCCCAGAGACAATCCAGCACAGCTAAGATACTGCGCAGGACCCTCAAGCTCCCAAACCTCTGGTAGAGGACCCGAGCTTGAAGGAATGACCATCCGCAGGGGCAAGTGGGGAATTTTTAATTTTTTTTAATATATATATTTCTGTGCTCACAAATGATAAAATCTCTAATAAAAGATTATTTTTTTGTGTGTGTATTTAATTAGGAAATAGTAAGTGGAACCCCCCAAAAGACGTTTCTGTTACCGAGACTAGATAAAATATTTATAATCTTGAAAAGTGGAACTTACCAACAGCAGTCATCAGGGCCACTGAGCTGAGGGTCAGGAGACAGACCAAGAGCCACATTTGGACCATAAACAGATCTGAAGCAGAAGGAAAACCATTCAGACAGGACATGTAGGTATGCAATTTATGCTAAAAAGATAACAAGACTGCTTTAACGAAAGCACCAACAGGAAATTCCATCCAGAGACAGAAAACCATTCAGGTCTCTTTACGGTCACAAATTAGCCTCACAAGTTCACCTTTGGACTGCCAAAGGATGTCTTAATATCTTGAGGACGGTGCAGGCACACAGAGAAATTGAAAACTCTACAGATAAAAGACATAAAATAATACCTGTGGTTGCCAATTCTACCTGTTAGCCTACCAGTAGATGCACCAATGGCATCCATTTCAAAATCCTAGGTGCACAAGGTAAAACGAAGTCTGATCTTAAGGATCAAACATAGATCAGATGAAACTAGACCGTACACTCCATTCATATAAGCCAAGCACACTGAAAGACCAACATTGTTTTCATGGCCGTGGATGGGGACCTGTAGTGTTGGATTATTTTTCAGGAGCTGGGTTTGAACCCTTAGTTCCAGTGAAGGGAACTCTTAACGCTTTAGCATACTAATACATTTTGTACAATGTTATGCTCCCAACTTTGTGGGAACAGTTTGGGGATAGCCCTTTCTTCTTCCAACATAACTGTGCATCATTGCACAAAGCAAGGTCCATAAAGACACAGATGTGTGAGTTTGGTGTTAAAGAACCCTGACCTGACCACAACCTGATAGTGAAACTTTGGCCTCCTTGTCCAACATTAGTGTCTAACCACACAAACGCAGTTGTGAAAAAATCAGAAATTCCCATAAATATACTCCAAACATTGTGTAAGGCCTTTCTAGAAGGTTTGAAGATGTCATAGCTGCAAAGGGTGGGCCAACATCACATTAAAGCCTATGGAATGGAAATGGGACATTACTTGAGTTAATATTGTATGGTCTTAACCTCACAATACAAAGCAGCTTGACACAACTGTTGTTGTGGGCTGGTGATATATGAACACAACTGAATTGAATACACGTGTGAAGGCAGATGAGAAAATGCTGCTTCTTCTAACCAGGTAGCGTTGTTTAACTTGGTTTGGCAAAGAACAGAAACTTCAGTCTCCCAGGTAACACCCCTGTGTTTGATCCCTTCATCCAACACTAAAACAACATTCACTTCAATAAGGAGAACTCATTAGGAGGACTTGACTGATAGTCACTTGATATATTTTTGGTTGATATTTGAATAATCTTCAGTTTTCTGGGTCAGGGAAGGAGATTCTCGTTCAAGTTATTACAGTACATGGCCGATTCCATTGATCGAACTGTTAAGGACTTTGGATTAAAGTTGCCCTTTTGAAAAAATATGTGGGGATTCTTTTGCAGCTCAAATTTCTGTGAGTTTAACTGTGTTTTGTCCTCAGATCATGTCTTATGCATGTGTATCCCATATGGAAAAGAAATAGTAAAAACTTCTATGATTTACTCATGAAAGTGGCCACTTTCTCATTACTTTCATATATTGTTTTAGTAAGTATCCAAAACATACAAGTTTCATTTATATAATTTTTCAAGGGATCTTATATCTGTTTTCACTCTTGTATGCTTTTCATACAAGTTTCACACAAGACAGATAAAAGCTTTATAAGATTTATATATATATATCTTTTCCATATGGGATGGATTTGTCCTGAGGTTGACCTTTACAAGAGCCCACACTATGAAATTACTGTCTACGTCTCTGCTCTGTGTGTATCCCTTTGCTTTGGGAGTGGCACATCACAACCAGAACAAAAAGGTAATTTTTTTATTAATTTCTTTTGATATTTTAGACTAAAACAACCCAAGGGTCTAAATGAAAGCTGCTTTCAGTGAGTATCAAGAGACTTGTCTTCAGCTTCTAACAAGCAGCTGATTTCACAATTACAGATCAAGATCTTTCTTAGATTGTTAGGAGATTATCTCGTTATGGTGTCCATTAAACCTTTCCATTTTCTGGACAATCTGGCATAGTGTGTTTTTTTCTTAGTTTTATCAGTGAGAAAGAAACAAGTGCTGCAACTGCACATCAGAGTGATGAACTGTTGCTCCCAATCAATGTGGTTAAGGCAACACATGATGTGATGTCAAATTCAGCTGGCGACACAAGCAATGCGGTGAGCTTAATGGAACTGTTACAAGACCAAACAATTTGAAGTCCATCGTTCTATAGTAAGCATGATTATTCGTCAGTGTCAAAAATTCAAGACAGCTTCCCATCAGCAGTCCCAGGAGTGGATGTCCCAGCAAATGTATACCACGGTCATGCTGTGCATTGCTCAGAAACACTACAAAATCCAAACAACACATCTTAGCCAACTAAGACTCTACAGTTCAAATCAAATCAAATCAAATCAAATCACTTTTATTGTCACATCACATGTGCAGGCACACTGGCACAGCACATGCGAGTGAAATTCTTGTGTGCGAGCCCCACAAGCAACAGAGATGTGCAAACACAACAACACAAACGAGCAAAATACAAGAATGGCCAACCTGAAACTAATAAATATATGTACAATATATAATAGTGTATGCATTTCTGGATGAGTATACTAAATATTTTCCTACGTGTGTGTGTGTGTGTGTGTGTGTATACACATTTTTACAAATTAAATAGTAAAAAACAAAAAACAAACAAAAAAAAACAATAATAATAATAATAATAATAATAAAATATATAAAATATACAGAGTTGAATATGTGCAAAACAAGTGGCATTTATATACAGTGTGGAGTGCATAATGTTGAAGTTCCAGTAGTGAAGCTGAGGTGTCTATGACGTGTTCAGCAGTCTGATGGCCTGATGGAAGAAGCGGTCTCTCAGTCTGCTGGTACGGGACCGGATGCTGCAGAACCTCCTTCCTGATGGAAGCAGTCTGAACAGTTTATGGCTGGGGTGACTGGAGTCCTTGATGATCCTCCCCGCTTTCCTCAGGCAGCGCTTCCTGTAGATGTCTTGGAGGGAGGGAAGCTCACCTCCAATTATCCGTTCAGAGCACCGCACTACTCGCTGGAGAGCTTTGCAGTTGTAGGCGGTGCTGTTGCCATACCAGGTGGTGATGCATCCAGTGAGGATGCTCTCAATGGCACAGCGATAGAAGGTCCTGAGGATGCGGGGGCTCATGCCGAATCTTTTCAGTCTCCTGAGAAAGAAGAGGTGCTGCTGCGCCTTCTTCACTGTTTTGTTTGTGTGTACTGACCACGTAAGATCCTCAGCCAGATGTACTCCAAGGAACCGGAAGCTGCTCACTCTCTCCACAGCAGCGCCGTTGATGGTGATGGGGGTGTGTACTTCTCTGCACCTCCGGAAGTCCACTATCAACTCCTTTGTCTTTGCGACGTTGAGGGTGAGATGGTTGTCTTGACACCAGTGGGTCAGGGCGCTGACCTCCTCCCTGTAAGCCGTCTCATCACCGTTGGTGATAAGACCCACCACTGTAGTGTCGTCCGCAAACTTCACAATGATGTTGGAGTTGTTAGTGGCTGTGCAGTCGTAGGTGTAGAGTGAGTACAGGAGAGGGCTCAGTACACACCCCTGTGGAGCACCAGTGTTCAGTGTGATGGGGGATGAGGTGATGCTGCCCAGTCTGACCACCTGGCGTCTGTCAGACAGGAAGCTAAGGATCCAGCTGCAGAGGGAGCTGCTCAGTCCTAGATCCTGCAGTTTCCTGTCCAGCTTCGAGGGAACGATGGTATTGAATGCTGAGCTGTAATCTACAAACAGCATCCTCACATACGTGTCTCTCTTCTCCAGGTGTGACAGGGCAGTGTGTAGTGTCAGGGCTATGGCATCATCAGTGGACCTGTTGTGGCGGTATGCAAACTGTAGAGGGTCCAGTGAGTCGGGTAGTGCAGAGCAGATGAAGTCCCTGACCAGCTTCTCGAAGCATTTGCTTACGATGGGGGTCAGGGCTACAGGTCGCCAGTCGTTCAATGAGGAGATGGTGGAGGATTTGGGTACAGGGACGATGGTGGCCATTTTGAAGCAGGCTGGGACTACAGACAGAGAGAGGGAAAGGTTGAAGATGTGCGTGAACACTCCAGCCAGCTGAGCCGCGCATGACCTGAGGACGCGGCCGGGAATCCCGTCCGGACCAGTAGCTTTGCGTGCGTTCACCTTCCTGAAGCACTTCCGCACATCCTCCTCAGACACAGTGTGCGCACTGACGTCATCCGCGGTGCGCACACTGTCCGGTCTCATGGTGTTCGCTGTGTCGAATCTAGCGTAGAATACGTTTAGATCCTCACGTTGCCATGTTAAATTTTAAACTTTGTCCGAATAAATACTAACCTCACAATACAATACTTTGTCCGAATACTAAACAAGTATAGCTTGTTTGGAAAGGTTTGCAGGAGGGAGCAGCTTATCTCCAAAAGTAAAATGGCAGCATGGCATAGGTTTGAAAAGTTGCATCTGAACAAACCACTATACTGGCACAATGTCCTTGGAACAGATGGCAATGGTGCAGAGTGCCATGTTTAGTCCCACCTTTCTGGTGGGAAGGAGCTTGACCCAGTGCGTGAGTTAATAAGAAATACTGACTACATTTAGTTGGGCTGACCTCAAAGCACAGCTCGGGTTCTAGAGCCAGTATCATGGCGAGGGGCGGTTTCTGTCTCGAGTGAGAGGTGAGAGGCAGCAAGCAGGGGTAGGTATCATAGTGTCCTCTCGAGGGCTGGGTATCGTCACTGATTTCTAGAATCGATTCGATTCACAAGGTCCCGAATCGATTTGATCCACGATTCGATTCGATTCAATTCAATTCGATTTTGAATCAGTCTGAAATATTATTATATGAACCATAATATATATAAAATTATGATTGTTCACCTTGTATATGTACTGTCAAAAGAACCCTCTAAGCCTTGTGAATGAATTACATAAATTTCAAAATTAAGAGCAGATACTAAAGCAGTTACAATAATGTAATTTTTAATTAACATCAGTATATATTTATTTTCATACATACATTAACAATAGTGGATCAGGGATCCAGTGCAAA